GGGATCAGTCGCATGATTGACAGACACTTTTTTTTCCTATAGACATATGCAATTCCTTACCTCAAGATGTGTAAAAATTTTTTTTGTTTACAAAAAGCAAATAGTTTAACTAAACTACCTTTGAAGCTTTAATATTTACAGCATAGATTCGAATCACAAAATAATATCCCAGTGTTTTCTTTTATCCTTCACATAGGAGTGGCATATTATTAAAGATTGTTCTGTTGGTATTAAATTTCTAAGTAACTGACCAAATCAGATATGATGTAAATAAAAAAGTTACTATAAGAGTCTCACAATAGTAACCTTTTATTTCTATGAGAAAGACTTTCTTCAAATAGAAGAAACAAAAATTTGGAAAACCAAACAACCTACATGAAAATCACTACTATTTTTTGCCTCCCCATGGTTATTTAACTAGGAAGAGTCATTAATAATGGTGGTGGTGGGGGGATTGTTAAACATTGAGACATTCAGGAAGTAAGCTAAATCTACCTCAAGCATGGCTGCCATCTTGTGGGGACCGGATATAATGGAATGAGGGGCCAATCTCAATCAAGTGCCCCTTTTGGTTGCCTGTCATCCTTTGACTTCCATCAACCGATTGTTTTATGTTTATTATATCCCTCGTGAAATGTCACATCAAGCCTTCAGACAAAGGAAATGAGTCAACTAAAAGAGATCCATCAATCTATATATTTGAGGCACTGCTTTTAAAATTTCAGTTTCATGGCTCCTGTGTGGACAGCGAAAAAGTTTTAAAATTTGATTTTCACTTAATTTTAATAGTAGATGAGTTTGGTAAAATACTCTTGTTTATAAAGTTATCAAGTTGCAGAATTTAGTTGCACTTTGCATCTCTATGAGTTAGGAGAAAAGATAATATTTCCCTAATAGCGTAGTCTTACAAATTCAGGGAAAGCTTTGAAAAGAAAGAAGAAATGGAAAATTTCAAAGAAAAGAAAAGAGGAAAGAAGAAATATTATGTAGGAATGTATGATTTAATGACTTGTGAGGCTTATTTAAGCATTAAAACCCCATGTTTTCTAAGATCAAGCCTCCCACCAAATATAATTACAATGCTGGCAAACAATTTCCTTATCTCTCCTTTTTTACAAAAAAAAGGCCTGAGTAAGAGCTCCTAAACTTCCATTCAATTTTGAACTTCTATGATGTACTAAGTACAAATTTTCCCCTTCAGCCTTTCACTCAAGGTTTATACTTTTCATTTCCACAAATATATATTTTAGTTATAACTGACCATTTACCACAACTACCTGCATCTATAGATGTTCAGTCATTGCTTATTTATAAATTTTCTTCCATGTTTTAGCTACAGTTATAATGTGCTTAGAACATTGGCAGCTTTAGCCACATTTATAATGTTGGTGACACAATTTTAGAGAAGTACAAACAATGATAATATTTTTGTTTTTTTCCTGCCATGTTATTTTGAAAGCTAATCTTTCACTTTATGTATGTTTCAAGTAGGCTTTCATAAATGTATAAATTTTTATACTAAAGCAAAACTCTTGAGTTATTGACATATTATTGGAGATTTTTTAAATTGACTTATGTAAATTGGCTTACTGTTATAACAGTGAGCGCCTGATATTTAAAATTTAGACATTGGTGTTCTTAATTTTTTTAACTGAAAATGAAAGAATCATGTGTTTCAATGATTTCTATTACCTTGCTTTCTTTTCACAATTACCTGCAAGCCAGTGTGCCTGAACTTACACTCACTCCAACATTGAATATTAATTCTCTGAAATTCTGGATTTTTAAATAAAAATACCTCATAATTTACATCTTAAAGCTGTTTAAATTATCTACTATTTCTGCAAAAGTTTAATGTTCACGTTGCAAATAGTTCCTGAATGAAGTGTAAGTCTCAACTTCGGAAAATAAATTCATGAATCATGGCATGGTTCTAGAACATTTTTCTTCCAAAGACTTAAGAAGAATTATTTAATATAAAGCTTCAGTGAATGTAGGATTTTTTACAAGGCTTGAGTTTGAGCATAGTGGACAGATGCATCAACATTTCTGTATGATAATGTTTAAGTTAAAGCTAGGCAGCCTTAATGAGACCGAGAAACAGCCTTCATTAAAAAGTCTATTTAAAAATCACAACCAGTGCATTTGTTATTTTCTTTTCCCTTGTAGAATTTAATATCTAACTTATACAATATAAATTTTTGTTTCCAGATTACCAAATATCACATTACAATATATATGATTTTCTAAAATAATAGAAAAATAATTAATACTTCGTTAAAAATTTGGTTAAACTTAGATTCCTTGCAACAATAGAAAACATTAGGTATAGAAATTATATAGGCAGTGAAAAGATTGATTTTTTACATAGAAAATCAATAAGCCAATATTTAATTGTACACTTCATTTTTGGAAAATTTTAATTCATCATTCAACTTCATCTTCTGATTGGTAGGAATGATCATCATACCTCCAATGGGTTTTGTGATGTGTTCCCCAGATTCCTTTAAATGTTTGTGTCTCAGAACAGCAGTTCTGAACTATGGCTGCAAGTTAGAATCACCCACAGAGGCTTTGGAATTTACAGTATATACAATATAGGCCAGGTCCCAACCACAGAGATTCTGATTACATTCATCTTAAATGATCCAGCTGAAATGCTTTCCAAGCTATTCAAAAGTGAACTTACATTGAAAATCATTAAATTGAAAAATTTAGGACTATTCAGAATATCTTATAGATCATGAAAACAGATTTCCTAGAGAAATGATATGAATATGACCATATTTAGCTGTCTTCATGAATAATACTTATTAAGCCAGAATTGAGCCAGCTATTGTTTGGAAGTTTTAAATAGCTCTCTGATTCTAAGATATAGCACTCTTCCCATGTTTAATGGTTTCTTCAGAATTTTTTTCTTGCGAGAACACATGGTGATTAATCAACTTTTACAATGCCCACATGAATGACAGAAGCAAGCTGTGAAAGACCCATCCATTCTTTTATTTGTACCAACAAAGTATAATTCACGAAAGTACATTAGAACTCTTTAATGAACAGCATAGTGATATCAGTAATAACAGAAATATGGTCAATGCTGTGTCCATCTGTACTAAGCGGGTGGATGAAAGAGTGGTCACAGTGATTAGAAAAACAGAATCGGGGTGGCTTCTGGGGAGCACGGTTTTTCAGATTTAGGAAGAAGTGGAGTTCTAGTCAAAGAAGGGACATCTCCATAAAATGGACTAAATAAAATGTGCAAAAGCTGTGGTCCATACTGTCTGGGCACTGGTGATCTAATTCTGAGGCAGTCCTGTCTGGAACAGTGTGCCATGACAGTACAGAGAAGGGGGGTTTATTCCACATAGACTCCACTTCATGGGCAGTGAGGCAGTGAAAGAGAGGGACTGGGTGGATAAGCATGTCTTCCAAGAACTATTAACATAAGCAACAATAGGATATCACAAGATTTTCTGGAATACTCAGGAAAAAATGAAGATGTTTGCAAGTGTTTCGTAGAGATGAGAATGTACCATTGTGTTTGCAGAAATAACGACCCAACTCCCCGGACTAAGAGAAGGGTTCAAACAAGAGTGTAAGAAGGAAAGGCATTTGCTACACTTGGGGAGGGGGGTGCAAAAGGATGAGGAGTTTGAGATTCACACATCCAAAATAACAACATTCCCAGAGGAATAAAATGATAACGGAAACAATATTTGGATTGTTACTGCCTGACCTCAACCGGGCACTTGCTAGTGTTAACAAATTTCCAGTCTTCAGTAAAGTCAAATTCATCAAGTTCATCACTAGAGGAAATTAAGTTCCAGTCATCAAGAATTCACATTGAAGAATAAGCTCGCAGAAAATCCTTCCCGGCTGGAAGGCTGGTCCTTCAGCCTGGGTGGCTGCATTCAGTCCTTCTTCAGTTCTTCCTACAGATGACAACCAACTTGCCCACTCTGAATTCATCAGCATGGGCCATTAAGCTACTCTGCACAATATTCCGACCAAGTGCTTCACTGAAGCATTTTTCCTGTTTTATTTATTCTTTTCAAATTTGTAGATCTTCTCTATTCTGACAGAGGGAGGATTTGTATCTGTAGAAAAAGATATCAGGATTCTTTCTGAATCCTGGTTGCCTAAAAAACAAATACACTGGAGATTTTAAAAATCAGTGTATAAAGGTAATTAGCACGATCATTCCTTTTTATAACTTTATAATTGAAAACTCATTAAAAGCTTTCTAGGTCTCCTTTTCCCTAAGTGACCAGGTGCTCCTAATTTGTTTTCAACCAATGTGACTAATTCCAGGCAAAGGCTAGAAAAAGTCTGATACCCGTTGGAAAATAGCAAGGTTAAATAAATGGGGTGGCGTATTTTGGGGGTTGCTTTCAACCTCGTAGAGGTGCGGGGGGGCGGGGGCTCCATCGTCTTTTCGCTTACAGTCCTGCCTTTTTCTCAGTCCCGGCTGAAGATTCCAAGGGAAATGAGACACTATTTTGTTTCTCCCTCGTATTGCAGATAGGGGGAGGAGGTGGTTATTAGAGAGAAGCTCTTCCTCTCTCGGTTTCCCCTCTCCGCCTGACAGCACCGCTCTCTCAAGCTCGCTCCTTCTCCTAGGTGATCCATTTCTAGGCAACGCGGGGCTGCCGCGAAGCTGCCGGCTCCCTCGCACCCGCATCCCGCCCGGGACCGGCTCCGGAGCATCCTGCAGCCCAGGCGGGCGCCTCGACCCCGGCCTGGCCGCCACCGCACCCGGCGCGAGTCCCATCTCCGCCTCGGCACTCCGCGCCGCCTCGCAGGCAGGGGCTTTTCTCCGCATCGCTGTCCGCATTACCGCGAAGTTCACTTTCCCGGCCACTCCTGGAGGGGGCTCTTCCCTCCCAGCCCGTCGCCTCCTCTCCCCGCGCTCAGGCTGTGGATGCTGAGCCCGGCTCTCCGGGCTGGCCGGGCGGGCGGGAGGCGCGGAGGGCGCGACCAGCGCGAGGGGGCGCTGGGCGGCGGGGCGCTGGGACCCCAGCCCCGCGCGGAGAGGGTGCGCTGAGCCCGGGCCTCGCCCCCTGCCCGCCCCAGCGCGGCCGAGGCTGTGTACGTTTCCACAAAGCCAAACTGCTCACAACTCCGGCGAGGCCGAAATCCCCCGCCAAGTGACACGGCCCTGAGACGGAGGTCTCCCGGCTGGCTCTCCGCTTCCTCCGCCTCCCTGGGCGACGGCCCGCGGCTTCGCTCTGGCGACAGGAATTTGGAGCGAAAGAAAAAGCTGCGCCAAACTCTGTCGTGACCTCAAACTCTTTGGACTGCTTCTGGTTTTATTTTTTCTTTTTCTTTCTTTCTTTTTTTTTTGTTTTTTTTTTTGTTTTTTTTTTTGAATATTGGAAGAACATCATCCTTCAAGAAGATCGGCATAGGAGGAGATGGAAGTTTTCCCATGGCTCTTGGTTTTGTCCGTCTGGTGGTCTCGAACCTGGGACTCGGCGAATGCGGATTCGATCATTCACATCGGTAAGAAAGACGCCTAGCGTGGGCGCTTTCACGGGCCCCTTGCAGCCCGAGGGTGACTCAGTGCAGGTGGCCCGGCTCCTCGCCCCTTCCCGCTCGCGCCCGTGCGCCCACGCCGGTTTGGGGAGGACCGTGGCTCCGCAGGGACCAGAGGCGCGGGGGAGAGCGCTCGTGGGGGTCTCGGCTGGGCTCCGCGGGGGTTGGGGAGTGTGGGCTCCAATGTTTGGGGAAGGGAAGTTTAATCGAGCCTGCCTTCCATCTTTCTCCCGGATGTGCCTTTGCTCCATTTGGGGGAAAAATTATCTGTGGGGGACGCAGGCGGTGTCACCTGTGAAGCGCAGGGACCGGGGTGCGGGGCTCCCTCCGGATGGAACAGGTGGTTTGGCAGCAGAGCGGCCCAGGCGCCCGGCGCAGTGCGCAGGTGGCGGGGTGCCTGATGCGCCCCGCCTGGCTCCGGGGCCCCGCGGTGCCGGCGCAGAGGGCCCCAGCGCCGAGCCCCGGGCAACACGGCCCGGGCATGCGGGACCGCGGGGGAGCCCAGGCACAGGCCGTGGGCCTCTCGCCTCGCCTCCCGGCCAACTCGGAGTCGCCGCGCCATGCGGCGAGCGGAGGCGCCGCCCGGAGGAGCCCAGGCCCCAGGACGGAGCGGCCGCCGGAGGAGCTCGCGGCCCCACCTACCGGCGGCCCGACGGCCGCGGCGGGGGCTGGGCTGCTCGGCGTGGGCAAGCAGGGAGCTCGCGGCCAGGCTCCAACTCCTCTCACCTGCTAATCCGCGGGAGCCGGAGCCGGGCGGAGAGCTGCTCTCTCAGCCCTGTCTGCGTTAATGCGACGATTTCCCTTTCGGGAATTTCGCCTCCCGGGGCAGCCAAAGCTCTTTGGAGGACTGCACCGAGGCCCCGGTTGGGGAATTTTCTGGGCACGGGACTTTTATCCACCCACTCGGTTTGGTGTTCTGCTGAGCGAGGCGACAGATGGGTCACAGCTTCTCTCCTTTCTGTCCCCTTGCCCCTTCCCCGCGCATCCTGCACACACACACACGCACACGCACACACACGCGGCCGGCTGCAGGTGGCGGGTGTGCCCTCCTGAGCTAGGGGCTCTGTCTGGTGTGGCCGCCCGCAGGGGTCAGCCCCTCAGCCCCAGGAGCTCTGGCTGCAGGTCTGGGCGGCTCTTCCTCAACATGTCTGCCGTCCGCCTTCATTTCCACCAGTGGAACTGTACACTGTTTCTGTGCGAGGGGTAATGAGGTCAGGATTCAGAAAGCCTTGCACTTGTGCATTAAGTAAATTAAGCATTACATAGCTTGCCTGCTGGATCCCTTTTTGCCTGGGAGCTAACAGTGCCTGCCCGTGAGGCAGAACTTTTCAGGGAGAAATTATGATCTCACCGAGGGATTGAGTGGTTTTCTGATAAGAGTTTGGAAATGAACTGTGCTCCTCTGAAGGAAAGGTCCTACAGGAGTTCTAATTGTAAATGGAGTGAATATTCGTCATACCTTTATAGTCATTTTAGGGTTAGGGATTTCTGACTTACGCTTCTCATCCCTCAGGAGGAAAGGCTTGTAAATAAATGCTTTATTGCTTAGTCTATGGTTTACATGAAAAATACATTCTTTACAAACATCAACAGCTCTTCTGTCCTCTATCAGATGAGTACTATTTTGTAATGCAGTCTGGGCATTTGTTTCAAAATAGAACACAACTGTTGTACTTTTCCCTTTGATTACTATTGTTTATCAGTGTGATGCGGCTGATATATAAACAGATTTTTTTAAAGTAGCTGTGTAGAAATTAAATATTCCCTTCGAAATCTAAATGTATGTCTTAACTCTGTATATCCTACTAAGAGTAGTAGTTACTACTCAGAAAATTTGAATCGAATGTAATTACTGCATTACACAAGGGAATTAGCTTTAGCCTGCATAGAATTGCAATGAAGCTGATTTCCTCAGAAAACTTCATATCTTTTATAATATACTGAAGATGGCTAATTTGTGTTTCAAAAGTAAAGCACTCATTCTTCCCCACCCCCACTTTCAGCAAAACTATGATAAATGCAAAGTATATGTCCCTAGTGAAATGGCCAGGTACCAGTTAACTTGAGCTGGGTTAGTTTACTTGGCTGAGTAGGGAAAGAGAATTTTCCTTAGGTGGTGAATGCTTTCATTTAAATATTTAATGTGAGAAAAATGATTAAGATGAAATGCTTTTGTTCAGGACTAAAGGGATGAAAGTGATAATACTGTAGAGAAAGGAAGTATTTCAGCTCTAGAGATTTAAGCAGCTATGAAGAAATGAAAGATTTCCCAGCCTCATGTGATGTGTTCTAGCAGAAAGTAGCTGCAGTAGGTAGTTCAGGCAAAGAGGAAAGATTAAAGACATTGCTGTAATAGCTTCTTTAAATATTGAATCCTTTCAGTATTGAACCAGATCATATATAGTATGAAAACTCTCTCTCTCTGTCTCTTTCCCTCTCTCCCCTGTCTGTCTCTGCCTCTCTGTGTGTGTGTTTTTACTTCATGCAAGAAGTTTTATAAAGTCAATTACATATTTTTAAATCTTTTATTAAACACATTAGTTCACTATAATGATGAATATAATGGTGAAACCATAATGAATGAAATAAAAATATTTATTCCTCTTATTATTCACAACATATAATTACTTTGAGTTTCTGTTAAATTGTATGTTACAAATACTTAATATTTACATGTTTGCTCCCTACATGTCACACACACACACACACGCACACACACACACACAGACACACACACACACACACACTGTGTTTGGAAACAAACTGCCCTCCATTGTGATCTTCTTTGCCTTGAGGAAAGAAAGGTCTTTTAACATATAAAAACTATGCAGTTTTGAATTATGCTTCTACTTTGAGGCTGTGCATTGATTGAGTAATTTCATCAGACCAACATTACTTGATTGCTTAGAAGTTTCCTAATGATCTGCATGCTGCAGGAAGAACCAAAAAGTCGTGAGTAGAATGGCAACGATACGGTGTTTTATGAGGCTATTCAGAAGTCTCTCTGATTTATGTAGCTAGAAAGCTCCAAAGTCTTTGAGATTAGCCATGCTGACTACTATTTTCTTCATACATCAGTCGTCCCATGCTCTGTATTCCTTAAACACAACGGGAGTTTAGAGTACTGCTTTAATTAAGCAGGGATTAGGTGGCATTTCCAGTCAGCTACACAGTTTGTATTTTGCTTCATATCTAATATGGAGGATCTCATGTTTTAACAGTTTAACATATGCTAGTTTCTTTATCTGGTTCCTGCGCTCATGGAGCTGATTGAAAATGAGCTATCCTTAGTTATATATCTCTACAAGGGAACATTCAAGTATTGTCCTTATTCATATGTTACACCAATCACTAACACACATTGCTTGTTATCATAGTAGAATACCTTATGTCATCAGGGAGTAGAGAGAAGCATTTATTCATGATTTTCTCATAAGCAGATACTTTATCCTCTGAGAGCATAATCATCAACTGTGACATTATTAAAAGTCTAAAACAATTCATAGAATATTTGAGACACTTCGGAGAATATTTTCCTTATAAGAATGTGGAAACGAAAGAAAAAATTGGGTGAGTAAAATGTGTCAAAACATTAAGAAACGATAATAGATGGCAGATATAAAGCATCAGTTTTCCCTAATTTTGAACAGAGAACTACCTTGTGAGACACAGAATGCAAACACATTCCCAGAAGGTATCCTGTGTCTTCTTCCAAGTATTTACTTCTCAACTGTTGAAATGAGTTGCACTAGTTAATGATAACACCCAGGAGTCATCAGGGACTCTGTGTAATATATCTCAATGAGTTTTCATCCTAGTTTTACTTGCAGTGGCTGTTTGCTTCCTAGGTTTGGGGAAAATAGTATAAACTTTTAGAATGTACTAAGATACATAGGTTATTATTATCCTTTTCCACATCATCACTATAATTATTGGAAGCACAATTCAGGTATGCATGAAGATAGACAATGTTATTAACAAGAGACATCAGTAATAACATGACTCATAGCTGTTATGCTAAGGACCTTTGCTTTCTATTCCAGGTCAAATGTACATCCAATAAATATCTCCTAGAAAATTTAAGTATGAATAAAAATCATGATGATTAACTTTTAACTTGTCTAAAAAGTAGAAACCAGCTGAAATTGTTGGGAGCAATGGGAAATACATTTCACTCAATTCTGACTTCTAAGGTGTATTTTAATCATATTTTTATCTTCATGGCATATTACAATTTTTAGACCACACTTTATAAGCCAGGTTTTTTCTTCTTATACCTGTGTATGTTCCTTTATTTTTAAAAGTAAGACATTTTCATTTCTATTGGATCATCACCATATGTCAGAGTGTAAACAACACATTGGTAAGCAACACTTAGTGTTACTACAAATATAATATTTATCAAGAAATACATTTCTGACCTATAAAGATGTCTTTGCCATTAGGTGTCACTACATTCTGAGCTGTACTTTGTTGTCCTACTTGAAAACCATGTGGAATACTTTTTAAATCCTCAGGAAACAATGCCATTTAATGAGGTTTGTGATACTATAAATACAAGTGTTTTTTTATTTTCAATCTAGAAAAATAAGTATTGTCCCTGGCTCTTACATTCTGTAATAATTTTATTCTAGGACCTATGGACAACTGGGATTCATTAGATATATAACTTTTCCCACAAATTTAAAGTAGGAACATATTATTAAATGAATATTATTCTCTGAGAAAAATAAACAAAAACAAAAAGTTAAAACACCAAGAAGGATAAAAGTATGCTTAATAGTGAACAAAATAGTTTGTCAGGCAGTTTCTAACTAGAATGGTTCTGCTTACCTGTAGGACATCTGGGCTTCCTGACAGACTGTGACTTGAAATGCTGTATATATGTGTGTGTGTGTGTGTGTGTGTGTGTGTGTGTGTGTATAATATATGGTAATAGAGTTGTAAAAATATATGTTGACAAAATA